AATCAACAATTCAGCCAAGGACCGTAAGAGCGAACGGACCCTCACGCTCGATTCCAACAACACGCTGGTCGAAACCACGCCCAGAGACTGGGACCCACAGAACCTGATGATGATTCTCGACGGGTTGGAGGCCATTCGATGGGCATGGACCTTCATCCAGATCGGGGACGAAACCGACATCAACGAATTCATTGACAAATTCTGCCGCATCACCCGTCAACACCAGCAGCGCTTGCTCCAAGTCAAAGACTCCTGGGAAACCTTCACATGGCAACTGGCCATGAAGATGCGGTCGGGGGCCACCTTCAGCAAAGCTACCAAGGAACTACTGGCCGACACGACCACGATGAACGACATCCTTTCGCAACCAGCCAAGAAACAACCACGGACAGAGACCCGACGTCCACAGAACAACAGTAACCAGTATCGGCAACCCAAGGGCAGAGGCAAGCACACCTGGGGCAACAAAGGGTACCAGACCACTTCGTACCCATACAACAACCAGCCATACGCGACCTGGGGACCAACCCAATTCGCCAACCCCGCCATCCCCTCGATGCCTACAACCCCAGGACCCTCGTTCAAGGGCGACACACCCAAAGGAAAGAAGGGGTCCGGGAAAGGCAAGAAAGGCACCAAATCCCACGGGAAGAACAAGGCGCGTTAGGGACAGCACGGCCCAGGGGACCAGTCCCCTGGAGCCGACCCGGCGCGTTGCCTCCATCTTACCAGACAACTCATACAACACACGCCCATTATCCTGATCTCAGTTTTCGACGGGATCGGCACAGTGTCACTTGCCCTGCACCAACTGGGCGCCAACGTCTCCCACTGTTTCCGGTGGGAAACCGATCAGTCCTGCAATCAGCTACCTCATTCACTCTTCCCCACGACGCACATGGGCGCCGTAGAAGATTTTGACATCGAACAACTGGCTGCGATCATCCAGGACATACCCAATCACGAGAGACACATTATCCTCTTCACCGGTGGCCCACCGTGCAAGGACTACTCCAACATTAAACAACACCAACCGGGCCGGGCCGGCTCACAGGGCAGCCTCTTCGACACCGCACTCTCCATCCGCGACGACATTCAGAACAGATGGCCACATCAATCGCTCACCCTGCTAGAGAATGTCGTGCCTCACCCCGAGGTACGCGACGACTTCGACCAGCTGTCCCACTCCATGGGCCTACGCCCAGTCCTGATCGACGCGGCCGACGGCCAAATCATCTCTCGTCCCAGAATCTGGTGGGCCTCGGTCGATTGGGAATCCTTGCCTGCCACATTGAGCAGGCATACACCTTGGCAACTCTCCCTCGACACTCAGCTGTTCCCACCGGTGCTCTTCAATCCCATTGCAGCCGAACTACAACCAGACTGTCACATCCGGGACTTCGACCCGCCGAGTGTCCTAACACACGGACAACTCTTCCACTGCCTTACCACCCAGGCCAGTACGGACGAAGGCCGCCCACCACCACGCAGCCAACAACTACCAGACGACACATGGCAACGGTGGCAAGCCGACCACAAACAATTCGCCCCGTGGCAATACCAACAGAAATACCTGGTCCGGAAACACGGACACGACTGGCAAGTCGCAACACCCGAGCACCGCGAAGCAATGATGGGATTCCCGCGCGGCTGGACGGGACCACACAACACCGACCGGACCAGGAACACCATGCTGGGGAACTCCTGGCATGTGCCCACAGCCATGTGGATCCTATTCCTTTTGCTACTACAGCCAGCCTTCGGAATTCCCCCGCCCACGCAGCGGGTACGTCGCGGATCCCTCGGAATGATGGTCGACCTCTGGCTTCACAACCCACGACCATGGGGACCACCTCCGAGAGCATCGGAAACGCTACATATGCCACAGAACGACTGGCAGGACCACTTGACCTGGGCCAAACACCACGCTACCTCGCTGCAACAGCCCCAGCACTGCGACCCGACCATTTTGTGGGCCATCGCAATGCAAAGGACCATACCACAACTGCCACAACTACAGCACAACGTGTTACTCGACATCGCGGACCTTCGCGATGACCTGACTACAGATACACTTGCATGGTTCGAACAGCTGCCCCCACACTGCCAGCGAGCCTATCGACAACCGAAGATGATCACTCAGGTACCACTCATGACACACTTGCTACATTTGCTTAACTACCCACAGGCACAACTCCTGCACGAGGAACTCTCTCTAGGCTTCGACCTCCTGGGGCCTCTGCGACCCGGAGTCAATTGGCACATTCGCCACGACCACAAATACCTGGACCCATGTGACCTTGCAGAACTCAGGTCATTCAACAAAGCCTACATCCAGCGCAAATTACAACAACACAAGATCGACGACCACTGGACTCTTATGGCCACCGAAATCGCGGGGGAAGTGGCCCAGGGACGTATGGCCGGCCCCTTCGAGGCACCGACTCATTGGACCTCTCGCACAGTACCCCTGCACCTTTTCCCCCACACCAGCCGGCTCCTCCCTATCCCACATCGCGATCCCATTGTGGCAGTCGCATTCAGCATACAACAGACCGGATCGGACGGAAAACCCAAAGTCCGGAGAGGAGAAGACTGGCGCCGCAGCGGCCACAACCAGACGTGCTCTATGCACGATCAACCCTACCATCACACACCCGACCACTACATCCAATGTGCGAGACAATATCACGACGACGCACACCCGCTACATGTGTGGGGACACGACCACGACGGCGCCTACCGTCAACTGCCCCTCGCACAACCGGAGGTAGCATACGTGCTACTCATCACACCCGACGGCCCAACTCTCTGGCACCACCACGTGCTCCTGTTCGGCTCCGCTGCCAGCGTCTGGGGCTACAACCGCTTCGGCGATGCACTCACAGCACTCGCCCGCGTACTAACACTCACACCTGCCCTGCACTACGTTGACGACTACGGGGCCATACAACCCAGTCACATCGCGACCAGTTCCTTCTCCTCATTCAGCAAGCTCAACTCACTACTTGGATTTCATATGAAGACATCCAAGGAACAACCACCGGCGCCCTCTCACAAAATACAAGGGGTTTATGTCGACCTGTCGGCAACACACGCAACCCTTCGACCGTGCCCAGACCGAGTCCGTACACTGTCACACACCCTGTCTCAGTGTCTCGAACAGGGAGGTATGTCGAACGACACCGCCCGACGCACTGCCGGCAAGTGCAACTTTGTCACCGGACACCTGTTCGGTCGAGTAGGGCGATCGGCGTTAGCCGCCCTATACCACAAAGCACACAGCACTTCCGACCGGATCGACAAACCAACTCGAGCTGCCATTCTGTGCCTCCTGAATATCCTGCAACATAGCTCACCCCGCAGCGTCCCACTGTCCACCAGGCCCAGAGACCTTTCAATCATATACACCGACGCGTTCTGCCGGCAGGGCGAGACGGTCTGGCGTGTCAAGGACGCAGGGGATCAGGATTGTCTGCCACCCGATTGGTCGCACGACAACGGATGGGCAGCGGTGCTGTTCAGCCCACAGGCACAAAGGACCCGCGTGGTCTCGGGCGCACTACCCCCTAACTTACTCCAACAAGTGAGTACTGGCACCAACGCCATTTATTTCCTCGAGGCATGGGCCGCGTTGATCGCTCCTGTGATCTTTCGACCATGGATCACTGACACATACCTCCAGTTGTGCGACAACGAAGCGGCCAAACACGCCATCAGACGGGGAGTTGGGAAACACCAACCACTAAACTGCCTGCTCGGTGCACATTGGACATGGCACAACCGACAGCAATTGCAGTTGCATATTGCCCGTGTGCCCACACATGCTAATATAGCCGACCCCTTCAGTCGACATGACATGTCCCTTGCCTCGAAGCACCACTGGCAGATTCTGGAACCCCCCATGCACGCTCTACATAAACGGACGTGCAAAATCATTGGCGATATTGAGTTCGCCCATGCCGTCGGATTTGACGACATAAAGGAACTCCAACAGTTCCACAGGAATCATTCCTCCTGAACCCGACTTGACTTCCACGTCCCGTGAGAATCTTGTCCACAGTAAGGAGACTTGATCGATGTAAGGATGCCTTCAACGTGCCTTTTGTCTAGGTCGTTCGCCTTCGGCTTCACCTTCGACGGGAGTTGACCTACGACGGGAGAACGTCCACTCCCTCTTCGAAACTCTGCTGTACAACATTTTGGGTTTGCATGCACTTGCATTTGCTTACCTTTTATTTTGTTGTACTTTACTTTCGAGTCAGTGGTGTCTGAGAGACACGCACACCGACTCCAGAGATTGAAACAGATCGACCAACAGGTACGATCCCACCCACTTGAGGCAGTGCGGTGAAAATAAATCGACCGACGCTGGTTGCCGTCGTACTCTCTGGAGCGGTTTGTTGTTGCGGTTAACACTTGTGTTAAAAGTAACAACCGATAGCGGAAGGCATTTGAATCACACTCAGATTCGAACCTTGAGTGCCTGCAGGATGACACTGCTTGATTCATGCTCCGTTCGCCATTTTGGCGAATTAGCCAAATTTTTCTTTCCCACCCACCCTCACCAGTTTTCACTGCATGCCCTCAGTACCTGTCGGTCTGCATTTATAGCATCGAGTGAGAGGACGGGAGAACGTCCACTCCCTCTTCGAAACTCTGCTGTACAACATTTTGGGTTTGCATGCACTTGCATTTGCTTACCTTTTATTTTGTTGTACTTTACTTTCGAGTCAGTGGTGTCTGAGAGACACGCACACCGACTCCAGAGATTGAAACAGATCGACCAACAGGTACGATCCCACCCACTTGAGGCAGTGTGGTGAAAATAAATCGACCGACGCTGGTTGCCGTCGTACTCTCTGGAGCGGTTTGTTGTTAATCTTGATTTGAGGGATATGTCGAGGTTATCACCCAATGTTGGCCCTTGGCTTTGCAAAGCCAAGGGCCCCATTTCCGGAGGGTCCCCATCCTTTCCCTTGCCCTGACACAGTCCCCAGGTGCATGGCTTGCCGGCTTTTGATGCCCGAGCTGGAGCGCTTAGAGGAGGCTCTGGCAGCTTGGCGCAAGCACCGCCTTGACACAGCATCACCAGCATCACCAGCATCATCAGACTTTGATGCAGCACACATCCTCAGCATCACTTGCATCATGGCAGGGCTTCGACAGCTTGCGACAGGGCACTGTGACATTTTGGAGCACTTTTGTTGCCACTCAAAGTGTTGCAAAGAAAGGGAACCGATGTTGCTCCTGACAAGCACACCATTCTTTTTGGCTGAAGGGCCACGCTGAACTGTGACTTGGAGGGTTGGGCCAACGAATCCAGGTGCTGGCAATGTGTTCTTTCTCCCTTGCGTATTGCTGGAATGATCTAGACGACCCAGTGCTATGGCCTCAAAATTTGCATCTAGCCAAGCAAGCTGCTTGTCAATTATTTGGTTGAGTTTGCTCTTGCTTGTTCAGCAGGGCTTGTTTGGGATGCCCTTAAAGAACACCGTACGCTACTGAGAATCAGAGAGCGCTCGTCAGTGTCGCATGCCCAAGGCTGAGACTTCGGTGCTGGTGGCGCAGCGCGGCCAGCGGATTTGGGGCATATTCGTTCACGAGCTCACAAAACGAGCGAAGGGCCATGATGGGGATTCCTTATTTCAAGCTGTTCAATGCTTGTTTGTGCGGGTGGTGCCTTTTTTGTTTGTTCGTTTGTTTGCTCGTCTGTTGTCCTCTTTTGTTCTTTTGTCTCTTGGTTTGTTAGTTTGTTCGTTCCTTCGTTGGTTGGTTCGTCTGCTCTTCTTTTCTTCGGGGGCCGGGAGGGGAGGGGGGGAGGCGGAGGTTTGTGTCGTTGTCGCTTCACCAATCGCTTGACGGCTACTCGGTGCGGCGCATGCCTTGCATGTTTCTTACTGCCAGCTCTGTGGTGAGCAGCCCCGGAGCTTGTACTTCCCCGCCAATTGGCATGGCACCGAAATCAGGGCCCTAAAGATTCCTCCAAGGTAGCTGGTCTTAAGGTTCCATAATGTTCCATATCTATGTGCAACAAACTCCTCCTCCTCTTGGAATGCATTCGCGCCACTTGCCACCCAAGCCAGGTGCGACGTTTCCCGTGAGGCGCGTCTCGCGCAGATCTACAGCGCTTGGCGCACGCCTTTGGCACCTTGGTCTGGAGTGGGCATTTGGCCATAGGCGGATCTCGTGTGAATATGAAATGATAGGGATCGGAGTCGCTCGCTTCCATCGCAGTGATTCCCTCCCCTTCCCGGCACAGAGGTCATGCTGTTCCCGGACACTCGTGTCCTTCTTCCAGGCCTTCAGGCGGTTCCTATTTGCGCAGAGACTTCTCTTCTCACGTTTTTTGGAGCCATGCCAGCTTGGATCGTGAGGCACATGCAGCATGCTCATGGGCGAATATTTGACAATACCTGCACTCCACCCAATTAGACCCGTGCGTGGGCTTGTTAGACCATCCATACACACATTTGGTCAGGTGGATTCAGTCTAAACGTGATTCCACACGGGCGCTTTCAATTGGCCTGGGAGGCCATTTTTACGGGTCAGATGCAGCACACCAGCCTCCTGCAGTTCACTGTCGGGCCGGGAGCTTGACCAATGGGTCAACGTTTCAGGAGAACTTCCAAGGTTAGTCATGGACCTATCGACCTGAGCATGCCAAGTCATCGCTTGGATGCAATGACAACGCCTGCCAAAAGCCTGGTGATTATTTGATTGCAACAGGATGTGTATGTGTCAAAACCAGCACACCAGCAAATCCACACTTTTTCCACCTGGTACATGTTGGTGTCACGAGATCCACTTTGGGAGCGAAGCTGTATTTGGGGGTGGGGGCAAAAACCCAGATACTAATTGGGAAACGGCTGACAGCTTTTTTGGTGCTTCTTCTCGCTTGGTTTCAATGCGGATGATGCTGGTGATGCAGGGTCTGCATCCCCCGCATCTCCAGCATTCTCAGAGTCGCCCGTTCACGCATCACTTCCGCATCCATTGCGGCCTTCTTCTGCATCACCTCTGCATCCATGAAACTCCGGACCCCCGTTCCATGCCTGTTTCTCTTGGGCCCTTTGGCCTGCCTGCAAATCTTTGCCCTCACCAAACACCCTCACTTTTCCGTGTCCGTCTTCTTTTTGGAGCTGCTCGGACCACCTCAAGGCTCGAGTTTGGCTCTCTCAAGTCTAAAGGGAACCAAAGTTTGGGTTTCAGTGAGTAACGAATCCATTCGGCTGTTCAATAGTTGGCGGGCATACTGCCCCGCAGATCAACGAGCCCAAAAAGGGGATCCCCCACGCCTGTCCGGGTTCCATGTTGCCTCACTGCCTCACTTACTTGGGTCCGGTTGAGGAACGGCACCCGTGGGTGCTCTCCAAAATCCAAAGATTCGCACCACCGAGGCCCTGGCCGCCCCTCGTGCAAAGCCGGGAGCAGCTGCAGGAGGCGTTTTTCGGTGCCGCTCCGGTTTCCCGAGCGCAACCCGCCCGAAAAGGGCACCCATGCAAATGTCGCAGAACGGGGACCCCTGGAAAAGTTGTTTTTGTTGTTCTCCTTGAAACCCAAGATTCATAGTGAAGGTCTTGAAATGGTAAAACCTATACTGATTGTTTCTGGTTCAAGCAATCATGGTGTAGATTCCAAGCCCTCTCCCCTTGGGCTACGGATCCTGCGGCAGGCAGTTCAGGAAAGCGGACGCCAGGGCACTTTCGCACGCAGCTCAGGACAAGGCATCCACCTGCCTCCAAAGATTATGGCGATAGATGATGCAGGAAGACAAGATTACGTGGGCTTCAGGGAAAGCGGCAGCTTGTATTCATTTGGTTTGCAGCTTCTAATTTGTCCCTGGATTATCCACAATCAATGAATCAATGTGCCCCCGATTCAGCAACCACATTTCCTCAATGGAGCACCAAAATACCCTCCAGCAACCAACGCCCCACAAGAATCACGGTTGTCTGCCGTTTTGGGTTTCCGAATCTCGGCTTGGCTTCCAAACATATTTTTTGGCATGCGGCGAATCAACAGTTGTAAGGTTTGATTTCTGAATGACCAATGGCTTCTGAATCAAGTTTTTGCTTTTCTGAATGATGACTGGCAGCCTCATCAGATTTTGCTTGTTCCGATTCAGTCGTTGTTTAGCTTCCGAACAAGGCGTTTTGAATTCTGTTTCAGGCAGTGTTTTCGCTTTTCGAATCATGCCACAACCCGGCATGCTTTCTTTGTGAGTCATGGAGTGGAAGATCGAACACGTGGTTGCAAGTGCTGTTGCTAACCCGAAAGCGTTTTCATGGGGATGTCATTCACAGGTTTAGGCCAGGTCAGCAAGCCGCCGTGGTGTATATGGCCTCGGCCAACCTATGCAGTTGCTTTGGGGGGGTGTAGGAGGGGAGGGATAGCCTAAAAAGAACCACAAGGTTGTCTAGTGTTCGCATTTGTCCACCTTGCTTGAACCATCCCTCTTGGGATTCTCACAATCCTGATACTGTAATGATAATTTTGTCAGCTGGGTGTTGGATGCCTCGTCCCCAGGTGGGTCTTTTCCGCTCCAGCGACATGGCAGGACCACTGCAGGACAGGAAAACCAGGCAAATGGCCGAGTTCATGGATACCCAAAAGGTTAGAGTTTGGACTTGGGCAATGGAATCTCTTGTCGCTTTGGCGGACTTGCAGGAAAGGCGGGTTGCTGGCAACAGCTGGGACAAGTCAAGGGCACTTCCTTTCCGGACTGCCTATCGAAGCAGCATGCATAATCCCAGCTTGCAACGATCTTGCCAACCACGGAATGAGCTTGCGGCGGCATTTTCCACCTTTCAATCGACTGCTCTAACGCCTGACTCCCTGCCTGATTTGCATTGCCTGTGCCCGCTTCACTTTGGTCATGTTCGCTCCCTGACTTAACATATCTGGTATTCTGTTCTGGGATGGCAGACACTATCAGCTTAGAGCTGCTTTCTTTGCACAGTTGCTCAGGCTTGCATGCAGCTTCCTCGCAAGTCCAATCTGCTCTCCTTTTTGGGTTTCAGAAGGGAACGCCCAAAAGGCAAAGACTCATTTTGAAAGGGCTCCCAATTTGAAGACACTTGTTTCGACATGACTCAATCGGGCACCTCCACTTCCAGGAGCTTTGGCCTCTTGACTGCCTAAAGAGGCACAAGCGGGCCTATGCCTTTGCGAGGCGCGAGTGGCTGAATTCTGCTTGTGTGTTTGACTCTTCTTGCTGGACATCCACAGGTCTTCACGTGATGCTTGTGGCCGAACCTGAGAAAGTGCCTTGCTTTTGCCTGCCTCAAGCTTCCAGGTGGGGCAATGAAAGCAGCGAAAATACAAGCAAAAGCGAAGAGGACCGACTGACCAACTGGGGACGGAATCATGGCAGTCCAGCAGACACTTTGGCTGATGCAAATGTGGCGGACAGCTTGGTTTTGTCACGCACTGCTTGACTGTGGATGGACGAAATTCTGAACCAGTTGGGATGGATGCCTACCGTTTGGTGCCTGGCGCGGATTTTGTCCTTGCCGCAGGACCTTTGGCGATGGGCAGGGCTTGGCTTCAGCAAGGCGCGGAGGGTTGCGCTCGGCATCAAATGACGTGCCCAATCCCTGCACCCAGAATGACTCTAAGTAGATCCCAAGCCATTTGACACGTTCACAGAACTCAACAGCTCTCAATCTGACTTTGGCAAAGGAAGATTACCAAGTTGAGATGCACAGCTGCCTTTGGCGATTTGTTTCCCGCTGTTTCGCAATTTCGGCGAGGTAAGCTGTTTGCTCATGACTTTGTGCTCTTCGGTCACAGATTTCACGGGTGCAGAGCGTGAGCGCAGGGGCATGCTCGTGAAAGGAACCACTTGCGTACTTTTTTTGCTACACGCGACTTGGTGGCTTGTTTCTTGTTGCATCTTCAACGACTGCCAGGCACTTCGAATCAGGGAGGTTCAGGAGGGCCAAATGCTGAAGCAGGACCCAGGATTCACTGTGTTCAATGCCTAAGTAACTGGAGGACCACAGGGGCGATTCAAGTTTGCAGTCAGCAAGAATCAGCCTATAGGAAGTCGAAGTGTCTGAGGAGGACTTCCAGCGCGAAACTGAGTGCTTCGGTTGGTTGCAAGATTCTTGGCTCTATCCAAATCATTGGCATGTTGCCTTTAAACAAATGCGGCGTGTGTTGTAGCTGCAAATCCGCACGTAGGTTGCCCAATAGAGGGGACTGTGATGCTGCCCAGCAGATACATCTCATCCAGAACCTGCCCTGGCGTTGCCATGGCTCATGGCCGTGATTTGTGTACTCTCAAGGCCGGAGGAGGCCATTGTTTACGTGCGGGCGGATGATGACGCCTGCGAGTTTGCGGGGGCGCCAAGCCAGAAGTACCAAGAGGGGAGCGAGACGTCGGCTGGGCTTCCAGGCAGACTGGGGTCACAGAACCTCTTGACATATCAGAAACTCCCTTAGGATGCAAAAGGGACCCATATGAACAATCCTCCTGGTGATCCCATGTCCGCAGTTTGCCCTTCTCGATGTCGCGTTTTACGTTTCAGAGACTTGGGCAGGCACCCTCTGGCGGTTTCGTGGTGTACCAGGCTCGGAATGCCAAGAGCGCAGCAAGGTTGCATTTTCTTGTTCAAGGGAGAGAGCTATGCACCAAGTGTTATCCTCCAAGTTCCAGCCTCTAACCATACAGACCCAGTTCCAAATGTATCCGGTTTTCGCGCTTGCGAGCTGTACCAAAAAAGGCGTGCTGGCCCAGGAGGGTGGGTCCTTGCCCTCGAAGCCTTGGCCAAGTTGGACCTGGAGGCACGCTACACTTTGCGACATGTGCGACGGCCAAGGCCGGCTAAGGCCTCATGTGTAAAGCTTGGGGCGCCCAAAATTGGCCCGGGGAAAGGGGGGGGGGCAGAGGAAAAGAGACGCACCCACCAAAGGACATTTACAACCATGGCTTTGAGACCTGACATATATGACCTGCAAGCCTGCAATGCAAGAAACTCATGAGCAATGTGAAGACCCGTTGGGCACTGCTGGCGACACGGGCATGAACCATGTTGTGGCAACAAAGGCCATCCAGCCTTGCCGAGTTGTTCCACAGCTTATGAATAGCCTGTAAACCGTTTTGACAACCTGCATGTGTGCCGGTAAAACTACCATAGGTCCTTGAGCTGGATCCAAGCGGCAGAATTCGTCTTCGAGTTTTCGGCGGCTTCGTTTCCCCCAGGCGCCTCCCAGACCCCCAAGGGGTGCCAGGGGTGCCTGGGCTGTGGGGCGAGCGTTCGCGAGGCCTGGCACCTGGCGGGATCAGGTGGAGGCCTTCTGCGCCTGGTGCGAGCGCCAGGTGGGCGGACTGGACGGGTTGGGGGAGGGGGGTTGGGGGGGGGGGGTTGGGTTGTGGAGGGGATTGTTTTTGTTGGGGCCAGCCCAGTTTTTTTGTTTTTGCATGGAAAGGGAACGGCAGATTGATGTAGGGATGGAATCTTTGTTGGTGCGAGTGTGGGTGCCTATGGACCCCACGGAAAAAGTCGAATGGAAGCAACCACAAAATTGGGGGTCCCCGCAACTTGACTTGGCACAACATCACTTGGATCTTCCCGGGTTCAAACATGTGCAGCTTGTGCAAACTTATCTTCGCAAGACTCGAGAATCCGTAGGTTCTGGCGCCTGCCACGGTGTTTGACGCGCCCCGCGCGGCCGCGCTTGATGGCCGGACGCTTGGAGCCAAAACAGAGCGCAATGGGTGCGTGGAACATCACTTGGGATTGTCTCCAAATGGAGACCCGTGCCCTCTAAACAACAAGGGTGGTGTCGTTTCACCCCAAGCGGGTATTCTCAAAAAGATGCGCACTCGTCATCACTCGATTCAAACTTCTCTGCCGCAGAGCACCTCTTAGCTGCTTCTTGGCTGTGGATGCCTTACCCCGCACTCTGGGTTTGTCTGAAAATGCTGAACCCTCCAGATGGGTAACCCCAACAAAGCGACGGCGCCTGCCTTTTTAATCTCGCCCACGCTCAGCCATCAGGCACCTTCGACTGGCTCCTTTTTCTCTTTGCGCCCAAGGTGACGGAGGCGTCTGCACAGTTCATGAGCTGCGCCCAACTCCTCCCCTGATTTGGTCTTCAGTTGGTTCTACCAATTGGCTTAGTCGGGATAGAAAGGCCCATACTACGACCATCTTGGAAGAACCAAAAGAGTCAACGGGCTTTGGGCAGCTGCTAACATCAGTTTTGTCAGCATATCATGATTTGTCTACGCTTCATTGGAGAGGGACACTGAGGAAAGCTCCGACTTGCATCTCTCTCACTTCCAAACCGCTCTTGTTCATATCCTGGATGCGTTGCTTGCCTCGCGGCGTTCCTGCCGGCGCATTCAAGCAATGAATCAGGGTTTTGCTGGATGGCCTTGTTTGTCAACTGTCCACTTTCAACTGGCCAAGGGAATTCCATATAAACCCAAACATGTATTTATAGTTGGTTTGTTTATTGGTTAGTTTAATGGCGGTCGGAGCGTAGAGGCTCAACTCTGAATGAGGGCGGTCGCATGCCAGGATCAGAATCTGGCGGAGGCAAGCGGCAAACACAGCCAGTACGGAGATCGCATTTGTTTTCCGGAGCCAGCCGTAGGCTTCTTCAGGGACCGATGTGACATGCAGTCACGCCCCGAGATTGTACATTCATACTTTTAGCCGGTTCACAACGAGCCGGAAATCAAAGCTTCTCAACTAATCTTCGTAGATCTGTGTGAATGTACGCTCAGATTGTAACGGTCTGCATCTTCCTCCTCCTTACGATTTGCTGTTTCCCCGCCCGCTGTCCTTCCTCTTTTCTGTACCGCAGGTACTTCTGTCCCTTAAACATCTCACGCCAAATCACAAGTGGCGCAACCCAAGGTCTCCCAGAGACCTGGCCCATTGCATGTAGTTATGAAGCTAATACACACGCACGCACACTGTCTAGCCCTGTCTCCGAATTTGCTTCGGCGCCCCTAAAATTGGCTTTTGTTTGCAAGCTTGCTCCGACAGGCGCCCATGCACATAGCTTGTGTCATTTTGCGCAGTTTACAGGGAAGGTAGCCTTGCAGCACTTGGCGGAAAACTGTAGGGAATGAATCGCTGCACGTGATACTGACAGTGGCGAAGCACTCGAACCCTTAGATCTCATCGCGCCTGCGGCTGATGATGACCATGCTCTCGTTTTGCATCAGTTCTCGGGATGATTTGAACTTTACTTCCTTTGCATGTCTTCCCTGACAGTTTCCTGGCATGTCCCTTCGCTTCCTTCCACTTCACTGCCGTTTCAGCTCCCTTCATTTGCTTGAAGACTCCTTTATTCGCATTCCTTTCCCTTTTTGTTCCCGCTGTCCGGTTCTCCAGTGCCCTCTTGATTTGCGTGCAATTCCTTTGGCTTTCATTTCCTGTTTCCTTGCATTTCCCCTTCAGCCCCTTGTTTCGCATCGTCAGCATGCATAGCATCATCCGCATCATCCGGAATGATGCTGGCAATGCTGGGGGTGTAGTCCGGAATTAGGCACCCCCTAAAAATACTCGTTTTTGGACTCGTTCTTGGACGCTGCGGGGAGATGCTACAAAAATCCTCGGAAATCGCCTAAGCCAATCCGCGAATCCTTCGCTCCTTATAAGGGTGGGCCCAGTACAAAACGTATGCGCATGGTCGGAGCATGGTCGGAGCATGTTCTGCGCATGGTCGGCGGCATGGGGCGGACGGCCTTATACCTGAAGGTAAGCCCTGCGGGCTTGGCCTGCGGCCCGATCACGTCCGGTGGCCGGATTTACACGCTAACGCGACACAGCCGGCCACCGGGCACCTTGCCCTGCCCGTTCTGTCACTTCCCTTTCCTGTAAGTCCGATGAGTAGATGTTAAGATCTTAAAATTCTAAAAACTTTGAGATTCTAAGGGTCAGATTTGAAGACTTTCGGAATTTAAGGTTTCAATGGTTGAAGAATTAAGGTTTTAAGATTCAAAGATTTAAGGTTTTTGAAGGTTATAACAGCCAGGCCATTGCCCAGCCATTTTCCATCCAAGGCTTTAAGATTGATTTTTTTTGAGATTTTCAGATTTGGCGACTTTCGGAATTTAAGATTTTAAGATCTTAAGATGTCAAGACTTCAAAATTTGAAGATTAAGAGGTTAAGGAATTTAGAATATTGCCCGGATTGAAGGAATTTTATTATATCTTACTTGTTTTTGAATTTAAGATTTTCAGATTGCAATAGTTCGGGATTTAAAGAATTTAAGTTTTTGAAGCTTTTAAGATTCTGAGATTTTAAATTTTGAGAATTTAGGAGTTTCATATTTTAAGATTTTAACATCTGAAGATTCAAAGACATGAGGGTTTCTGTCACTTCCCTTTCCTGTAAGTCCGATGAGTAGATGTTAAGATTTCAAAATTCTAAAAACTTTGAGATTCTAATTGTCTCAGATTTGAAGACTTTCGGAATTTAAGGTTTCAATGGTTGAAGAATTAAGGTTTTAAGATTCGAAGATTTAAGGCTTTTGAAGGTGATAACAGCCAGGCCATTGCCCAGCCATTTACCATCCATTATCAGATTTCGAAGGCTTTAAGATTCTTTTTTTTTGTGAGATTTTCAGATTTGGCGACTTTCGGAATTTAAGATTTTAAGATCTTAAGATGTCAAGACTTCAAAAGTTGAAGATTAAGAGTTTAAGGAATTTAGAATAGTATAGCCCGTATTGAAGGAATTTTATTTTATTTTACTTGTTTCTGAATTCAAGATTTTCAGACTGCAATAGTTCGAGATTTAAAGAATTTAAGTTTTGCAGCTTTTAAGATTCCGAGATTTTAAGATTTTGAGAATTTAGGAGTTTCATATTTTAAGATTTTAACATCTGAAGATTCAAAGACATGAGGGTTTCTGTCACTTCCCTTTCCTGTAAGTCCGATGAGTAGATGTTAAGATTTTAAAATTCTAAAAACTTTGAGATTCTAAGGGTCTCAGATTTGAAGACTTTCGGAATTTAAGGTTTCAATGGTTTAAGAATTTAGGTTCTAAGATTTCATATTTTAAGAGTTTAAGATCTCAAGATTCTAAGACATAAGGTTTTTAAGATTTCAAGATTCGAAGACTTTAGGAAGTTTCTGTATATTTTTAGATTTTAAGATTCTAAGTTCTAAGATTTTAAGATCTTGAGATTCTAAGATTGATTGTTAGATATTAATTTAAGATTTTAAGAATCTAAGACTTTAGGATTTTAAGATTTCAATCCAGGCCATTTTCCATCCATTTCCATCCACTTTAGATTTTAAGATTTTCAGGCTGCACGTTTTCGGCAAAATTGGCCCGACTTAGGGGACAACATCCCCAGCATCCCCAGCATCGCCAGCATGCATAACATCATCCGTATCATCCGGGATGATACTGGCAATGCTGGGGGTGTTGTCCAGTATGCGGGGAGATGTTACAAAAATCGCCTAAACCAATCCGCGAATCCTTCGCCCCTTATAAGGAAGGCCCAGCCCAAAACGTACCCGCATGGTCGGAGCATGGTCGGCGGCATGGGGCGCGCGGCCTTATACCTGAAGGTAAGCCCTAACGGGCTTTGGCCTGCGGCCCGATCACGTCCGGTGGCCGGATTTACACGCTGACGCGACACAGCCGGCCACCGGGCACCCCTTCCCGTTCTTTCATCTCCTTTCCCTCTAAGTTTCCTGGCATGTCCCTTCACTTCCTTCCACTTCACTGCCGCTTCAGCTCCCTTCATTTCCTTGAAGACTCCTTCATTCGCATTCCTTTCCCTTTTCGTCCTTGCATTTTCCTGCAGCTTGGTTTCTCTCCAGCGCCCTCTTCATTTTCGTGCAATGCCTTTGACTTGCATTTCGTTCACTTCCAGTCACTCCTGTTTCCTTTCAGCCCCTTGTTTCGCATCGCCAGCATGCATAGCATCATCCACATCATCCGGGATGATGCTGGCAATGCTGGGGGTGTTGTCCAGTATTAGGCACCCCCCAAAAATACTCGTTTTTGGACTCGTTTTTGGATGCTGCGGGGAGATGCTACAAAAATCGCCTAAACCAATCCGCAAATCCTTCGCCCCTTATAAGGGAGGGCCCAGCCCAAAACGTACCCGCATGGTCGGAGCATGGTCCGCTCATGGTCGGCGGCATGGGGCGCGCGGCCTTATACCTGAAGGTAAGCCCTACCGGGCTTTGGCCTGCGGCCCGATCACGTCCGGTGGCCGGATTTACACGCTGACGCGACACAGCCGGCCACCGGGCACCTTGCCTTGCCCGTTCTGTCACTTAAAAATTCTAAACACTTTGAGATTCTAAGGGTCTCAGATTTGAAGACTTTTGGAATTTAAGGCTTCAATGGTTTAAGAATTAAGGTTTTAAGATTCAAAGACTTAAGGTGTTTGAAAGTTATAACAGCCAGGCCATTGCCCAGCCATTTTCCATCCATTATCAGATTTCGGAAGCTTTAAGATTTTATTTTTGGTGAGATTTTCAGATTTGGCGACTTTCGGAATGCAAGATTTTAAGATCTTAAGATGTCAAGACTTCAAAATTTCAAGATTAAGAGTTTAAGGAATTTAGAATATAGCCCGGATTGAAGGAATTTTATTATATTTTACTCGTTTATGAATTTAAGATTTTCAGATTGCAATAGTTCGAGATTTAAAGAATTTAAGTTTTGGAAGCTTTTAAGATTCTGAGATTTTAAGAGTTTGAGAATTTCGGAATTTCATATTTTAAGATCCCCGCATCGCCAGCATGCATAGCATCATCCGCATCATCCGGGATGATGCTGGCAATGCTGGATGCTGCGGGGAATGCTACAAAAATCGCCTAAACCAATCCGCAAATCCTTCGCCCCTTATGAGGGAGGGCCCAGCATAAAACGTATGCGCATGTTCTGATCATGGTCCGCTCATGGTCGGCGGCATGGGGCGCGCGGCCTTATACCTGAAGGTAAGCCCTACCGGGCTTTGGCCTGCGGCCCGATCACGTCCGGTGGCCGGATTTAAGGGCTGCCGCCCAGTGCCGCCGACCCCAAACCAGTTTGGGAATGGCTGAAATGAACGGGGCCGCTTCAAAATGGGGCCGCGATGGGTCCCCTCTTGTAGCCAGGGTGCGGTGCATTTTTGCTTTGCTTTCGCGTGAAAATGCACCGCTTTTATGATGATGATGAGGAGGATGATGATGATGATGATGAACTGACATGATAATCATCATGACGCATCCTTAGCATCACCAGCAGTCATCGTGATAATGCGCTTTGATTGGCCATCATCATCATCAAAGCGGCGCATTTTCACGCGAAAGCAGAGCAAAAATGCACCGCACCCTGGCTACGGCCCCGACTTGCGGCGAGAAAGCTGGTTGGCTTGCGGGGTGACCGGCGATGAGCCTCTACTGCAAACGCAACGTCACGGCACATGCTCCCAGCAGCAGCAGAATTGTAGGCACTTACAGCGGCGCATTTTCTTACCATATTATTACAAAAATGCACCAATGATGATGATGCTGAGCTGACATGATAATCATCATGACGCATCCTCAGCATCACCAGCAGGCATCATGATAATCATGTCCACGCATCTCCTGCATCTCAAATCCGCTCTAACGGGACTGATGATGATGATCATGATGATGATGATGAACTGACATGATAATCATCATGACGCATCCTCAGCATCACCAGCAGTCATCATGATAATCATGTCCACGCATCTTCTGCATCTCAAATCGGCTCTAACGGGACTGAGGATGCGTAGACATGATGTTGTCGCCTTATCTTTTTGATATACGTTTCAAGGGTAGCGTTAGAGCCGATTCGAGATGCAAAGGGTGCGTAGTCATGATTCTCATCATGACTGTTGGCGACGCAGAGGACGCACGATGATGGTCATCGTCCATCATAACAACGGTGATGATGACGACGATGACGAGGATGATGCTGATGATGATGATGTGATGATGATGAGCGTGTCATCATCACCATGATGGTGGTCATTATCGTCATCATCATCATCGTCATCATCGTGATCATCGTCATCATCGTCATCATCACCGATGGCATCATGGACGATAACCATTCATCTTGCATCCTCTGCATCACCAACAGTCATGATGATAATGATGACTACGCACCCTCTGCATCTCCAATCGGGTCTAACGCTACCCTTGAAACGTACATAGAAAAGATAAGGATGACAACGATTATGATGTGATACAATGACAAGCGTGTCATCATCATCATCGTCGTCATCGTCATCATCACCGTTATCATCATCGATGATACCCATCATCGTGCATCCTCTGCATCACCAACAGTCATGATGATAATCATGTCCACGCATCCTCTACATCTTGAATCAGGTCACAACGATGATGATGTGATGACGATGAGTATGTCCATCACCATGATGGTGGTCATCATCGTCATCATCATCGTCGTCATCATCAGCATCATCATCATCATCGTCATCGTCATCATCACCGTTGTCATCATGGACGATAACCATCATCGTGCATCTTCTGCATCACCAACAGTCATGATGATAATCATGTCTACGCACCCTCTGCATCTCCAATCGGCTCTAACGTCACCCTTGAAACGTATAAAAAAGATAAGGACGACAACATCATGTCTATGCATCCTCTGCATCTCCAATCAGGTCACAACGATGATGATGTGATGATGATGAGCAAGTCATCATCTCCATGATGGTGGTCATTATCGTCATCATCATCATCGTCATCATCAGCAGCATCATCATCAGCATCATCCTCGTCATCGTCCTCGTCATCATCACCGTTATCATCATCGATGGTAACCATCATTGTGCATCCTCAACAGTCATGATGATAATCATGTCTACGCATCCTCTGCATCTCGAATCAGGTCACAACGATGATGATGTGATGATGATGAGCGTGTCATCATCTCCATGATGGTGGTCATTATCGTCATCATCATTATGAGCATCATCCTCGTCATCGTCGTCATCATCACCGTTGTCATCATGGACAATGACCATCATCGTGCAGCCTCTGCATCACCAACAGTCATGATGAGAATCATGACTACGCACCCTTTGCATCTCCAATCGGCTCTAACGCTACCCTTGAAACGTGTATCAAAAAGATAAGGCGACAACATCATGTCTACGCATCCTCTGCATCTCCAATCAGGTCACAACAATGATGATGTGATGATGATGAGCATGTCATCATCACCATGATGGTGGTCATCATCGTCATCATCATCATCATCATCATCGTCATCATCGTCATCATCGTCATCATCGTCATCATCACCGTTGTCATCATGGACGATAACCATCATCGTGCATCCTCTGCATCACCAACAGTCATGATGATAATCATGTCTACGCACCCTCTGCATCTCCAATCGGCTCTAACGTCACCCTTGAAACGTATATAAAAAAGATAAGGACGACAACATCATGTCTATGCATCCTCTGCATCTCCAATCAGGTCACAACGATGATGATGTGATGATGATGAGCAAGTCATCATCTCCATGATGGTGGTCATTATCATCATCATTATCATCATCGTCATCAGCATCATCATCATCATCGTCATCATCACCATGGATGATAACTATCATCGTGCATCCTCTGCATCACCAGCAGTCATGATGATAATCATGACTACGCACCATGTTCATCTCCAATCAGGTCACAACGATGATGATGTGATGATGATGAGCATGTCATCATCACCCTGATGGTGGTCATTATCGTCATCATCATCGTCATCATCATGGATGATAACCATCATCGTGCATCCTCTGCATCACCAGCAGTCATGATGATAATCATGTCTACGCATCCTCTACATCTCCAATCAGGTCACAATGATGATGATGTGATGACGATGAGCGTGTCATCATCACCATGATTGTGGTCATCATCGTCATCATCGCCATCGTCATCATCATCAGCATCATCATCATCGTCATCGTCATCATGGACGATAACCATCATCGTGCATCTTCTGCATCACCAACAGTCATGATGATAATCATGGCTACGCACCCTCTGCTACGATGACGGTATTGCTTACGCTGATAATGTTGAATCTTCGGCTATGCTCATTTACCAACCAACCTTGGACTTGTGCTGTAACCACCCTTCCCGTGCGCCTCCCCCTTTGAGGAGAAGGGGTCGGCGGATTTGTTGCACCCCTTCGTCATGGATTGTGTTGGGATGTCGGCTACCAATGAACATCCTAGAGTAACAGACACAAGCACACAATCTTGAGTCTATGCTCAAGACATGACAAAACACTCAGCTATGAGCCAGCAGCGTTAGCATGGGCAAATGCCCAAACAAAAGCAGAAAACGGGGATGCCCCGATTGAACAGCGCCCACAACCCCATTTGGTTGAAGTATTACTTCACCGTGTTTTTTTGGGGGTTCTGGGACTGTCAACAACACCTTTTTTTGCTACCATACCAAGGGTTGTAAAGATTAGTGTAGCCTATATAAACCTTTGCAGCCATGTTAGCAGAACCAAAAGTCGGTGGGTTTTGGGCGCTGCTCAATTGTGCAAACACGTTGGAGTGTGCACATTTCGAACTGTGCACACACACACACATGTTGCTCGTTGCACGACCCTATAGCGATAGCCAGTGTATTTGATTCATGGCAAGCAGATGCGGCAACACGGTTGAGCCCCGGCCAAGCAGATGCGCCAACTGTTTTGGGCAAGCCCTTCTGGAAAAAGCCTCAGTTTGCAACGCTCACATTGTGAAAGTCAGAAACTGGGACTGTTTCCCTTTCACCTACGGCGTGGGAAGAGGTTGCAGCATGGGGAGGGTTAACTTGGGTGATGGTAAGATGGTAAAACAACTGGGGTTAGCTTGGATGATTTTGGTTAACTGGGGGTTAAACTTGTGTGTGTTTTTTTGTGTTGGGGGAGGGGGCAGAGTTTGCCGGTGAAGTCCCTTGTGCCGGTCAGCTCCAGGGCTTCGACCGGGAGCTGCGTCGCTTGGAGCGGTTCGCACGCGCGGCCTGCGCCAAGGACAAGCGCTACCAGGAGGTGCGCCGCTTGTGGCAACATCTTTGGTGGGTAAGCCACCTTGCGGCTGTTTTTGAAGGGAAACCTGCCAAGATGGCTGTGTCTTGGGAACCTCCGTTTTTGCTTCTTCTTTTATTATTATTATTATTATTATTATTATTATTATTTGTTTAACCAACACGACACGACTCATTTGGGGTCCCCGAATTTTGAGACCAACTCGGATCATACCTCACGCTTCACGACTTAGTGGAGATCAGGCTCTGAGTTATGGCTTCGTTCTTTTGAGAACCCAACGGTTCTTCAAAAGGAACTCGTGGGTGGAAGTACAACCAGAACTTCAGAAAGCACCCACTTCAATGGCGGGTCCAAAATTGCCACCTTTGGAGGCCGGATATCATGCTGAATGCGCACTTCATATGACATTTGTCAGTCCCGTGGCTTTCGTGGCTTGCACCGTGCCACACCAATCCAAAATCAATCCTTAAGCGCCCTGAGACCAAGACCAAGTTCTGCGCCAAACAATGCTCTTCCTAGTCATTTCCCTAAATCAATCCCAGCCCCAGCTCCAGTCATCTCAAACCGACCCTACGCAACCTGCCCCAAGTCAACCCGAAACCAGCCCCACTCTAAGGAAAGATTAACAGCATCTTTGAGCCAGCCCGAATACCACCTCTGAACGAGCCCTCAACAACCCCTCCAAGCTTCGTCCTGTCCCAACCCAACCCATCCTGAATCAACTCTTAGCCAGCCCCAAGCCCAACCAATTCCCCAAATAAACTGTCATATACTTGATGCACACACAACACAGCACCCTCCAACAAGATATGTCGCGATGTCCTGGGACGAACACAAATCAAACAAAACAAAAAAACACCAACATTTTCTGTTTTTGAGAGACGTATCAAGCTTCAGTTTAGTTTAAGTGAAGATCAAGAGGGGAGCAGTCCATCAAGAGTGGAGCAGTATCATTTCTACAAAAGCCGACTGCGGGTGCAGGTGCTGCCTGTGATCGTCCCAGCAGGTGGCGAGGAGCTCCTGGGATTTCCAGTCGCCTGTTTGCTTCGGGACCGATTAAAAGTGGTCCTGGCTCCAAAGAAGGGTGCTGTTTTTTTCTGCCGGGGTCGCGGGGTCATTTCGCAACTGGGGTTTGGATGCGGGTTTCCTCTTAGTTGCCGATTTCGTACCATGTTGACTGCTTGGTGGCCAAGCAGTCTGCTTGGTCGGTTCTTTGGGGAAGTTGCTGGTTGATGCGATTGTCGTGAAGGGTCGAAGCGTGCTTGTAAACAATCCAGTGCTTGGAATCAACAATTGAATCTGGCCAATGAAGGTGTCGTTTCCGCGTCCCAAAACTGGAGCAGAGGATCAACTGCACTCACTTTGCCGTCTAGGCTCCAGGCTATGGCACCTTGAGCCAGTGCAGAGAAGGCAGGCGACACGCAGCTGGCCCCACATTTCAGCATGGCCCTTACCAATGGCTTCAGCTCAACCGCCTTTCCGCTCTGTTTGATTCCCCAACGCGCGCATTTGCCATGATCGAGATGGCAAGCTATGGAGGTGCGGAAGGGCAATGCGGCCATCAGCGACCATGGCAAGGTGCCGCGGAGGTTGCATGTGAGGGGTGCTCAGATGGAGAGGGCCGAGAATGTTGCGGACACTTTCACCTTTGTTCCCTCCCTCCCAACCCATTTGGGTCAAACACCCTTGAGCCAGACTGCATGCCTGGCTCGAAGGCCGCCCAATGGCAGCAGGCCCTCGCGGTGTTCAGCAGCTTGGAGGCTGCGAACGAGATCAGCCCCTCGTACTGATGTTCAACCTGTGGGCTTAAGACTGAATGTCTGAACCCACACATTTGTATATATATAGCGTATACATATATATATTTCTATATATGTATATATATATATATATGCTCACCCCCCCCCCCAGGGCCCCCCTTTCCTCTCTTCTAGTTGAAGGTGTCGTGTGCCTCGTTCTTGCAGATGCCTGAAAACACTGTAAAATTATATTATTATTATTGTTATTATTATTCTTGTTATTATTATTATATATATACACATACATACATACATACATACATACATGCATGCATACAGACAAACAGACAGACAGACAGACAGACAGACATACATACACACACACATACATACATACATACATACATACGTACGTACGTACGTACGTACATACATACATACATACATACATACATACATACATACATACATACATACATACATACATACATACATACATACATACATACTATACATACTATACGTACTATACATACTATACATACTATACAGACTATACATACTATACATACTATACATACTATACATACTATACATACTATACATACTATGCATACTGTACATACTATACATACTATACTTACTATACATACTATACTTACTATACATACTATACATACTATACATACTGTACATACTCTACATACTATACATACTATACATACTATACATACTATACATACTATACATACTATACATAATATACATACTATACATACTATACATACTATACATACTATACATACTATACATACTATACGTACTATACATACCATGCATACTATGCATACTATACATACTATACTTACTATGCATACTATACATACTATACTTACTATACATACTATACTTACTATACATACTATACATACTATACATACTATACATACTACACATACTATACATACTATACATACTATACATACTATGCACACTATACATACTATACTTACTATACATACTATACTTACTATACATACTATACATACTATACATACTATACATACTATACATACTATACATGCTATACATACTATACATACTATACACACTATACATACTATACATACTATACACACTATACATACTATACATACTAGACATACTAGACATGCTATACATACTATACATACTATACATACTATACATACTAGACATACTAGACATACTATACATACTATACATACACATAGTATACATACTATACATACTATACATACTATACATACCATACATACCATACATACTATACATACCATACATACTATACATACTATACATACTATACATACTATACATACTATACATACTATACATACTATACCTACTATACATAGTATACATAGTATACATGTAGTTATTTTGTTTTGCACAAAACAATACATGCTATACATACTATACATACTATACATACTATACAGACTATACATACTATACATACTATACATACTATACATACTACACATACTATACATACTACACACACTATACTATGCTATGCTATACTATACTATACTGTACTGTACTGTGCTGTACTCTACTATATTATACTATACTATACTATACTATACTATACTATACTATACTATACTATACTATACTATACTATACATACATACTATACATAGTTATAGATCGTTATACATGTATACATATATACGTGTATATTTATATATATATATATATATATATATATTGAGGGCCCCACGCGGAGTAGCCTCCCCACTCCCAAAAAGCCCAGATTCACTTTCCTCCCCAAATCCCCCAGGATTCACCTTCCTTTCCCCCGAGCCCCCCCCAGTTTCACGGAAAGCTTCTTTCTTCTCCCCTTTTTCCCCGAGGCTTCAACGCCCTCATCAGCGCAATGCACCGCAGCGCCCGGTGGCTCTTGGCGCTGGAAGCCCTCGGCGCCATGCGCGCCCTGGGGGCCGCGGCCATCCGCGCCTCGGTGGTGAGCTTCTCCGCTGCGGTGAGCGCCTGCGAAAGGGGCCGGCAGTGGCAGCGGGCTCTGCAGCTGCTGGAGGAGACCCGGGCGGTGGGTAGAGGTTGGGGTTTGGGTGTTTGCGAGGTGCGGGGGGTGGGGGGGGGGGGGAAATCAGGGTCCATCAAAAGGGAGTCAACCAAAGCCAGTATGGTCTATGTGAAGGGAGTTGGGGGGTAAAAGGGAATGGCAAGGTGTAGCGGGTGTGTGCCATGTGTTGTTGATAGTTGCTGGGTCATGTACCAGCACGGCAGCACACCTGCGCTTATGGACCGAGTTTCAAGAGGTTGCAGGAGTCCTCCTCTCAACAACATTTGGCTGTCAACTTATTTGAATTTGGACACAGTTCATTGTGAATGCTTAGCTTGCCAGGCGTTGATGCGCACAGCGCTGCGTGCTATTTGAGCGCGCTTCCGCCATGCCAGACGACTTTGACCAGGGGTCTGGATGCAAAAGCGCTCCCGTCCACTAACGTGGAACCCACGTTAGTGGAACCCACCAGAGGGTCCCCTAATCAGGTTCCATGGCAACGTTGAGGAGATGCAGTTGGAAGCTGTGCGCGCAGATGTCATCGTCTACAATTCGGCCATCAGCGCCTGTGAGAAGTGCGGGAACTGGCAGCAGGCCCTCGCATTGCTGCTGGAGCTGTTTGACCCTTCGCTGTGGGAAAAGGGCAACGCCACGAAGATGAAGACGCTAAGACCCCCCCCCTCACCAGAAAGGTTCTCAAGGTCGATAAGAACCTCCCCACCAAAAAAGTCCGATGCGAGATCTTCTTGGGCAGGGCCTTTGGCTTCCCAAGGAAAGGGGATGGTGAGGACGAGTCCAGGGCATGTGGAACGGGGCTGCTGGCAAGGCTTGGCTTGGACGTCGGGGAGTGTCCCCAAAGGCTTTCTTTGGGTTTGGCCCAGAAAGGAGCTTCAGGTGCGATGGTGGAGCTTGGGGAAATCCATGTTCTTCACAGACTTAGATTGGCCCATGGGGGGAGGCGTAGAAACAGGGTCGGGCTGCCAGCAGTCGCGAATTTGCCCTCCCCCAGAGCTGTGATTGCATGTTGGTCTTAGGTTCTGCAGTTGTGTTCTTGGTTTGGACCCTGTTCCCGAAGGAACCCGTTGGTGTGTTCCATGTTGTGGCCGTCACTTTACCTCCGGCCGAGGACCGCAGGCTTCAGGGCACGGTGATCAGCTTCAACTCGGCCATCAGCGCCTGCGAGAAATGCGGCCACTGGCAGGTGGCCCTCCTTTTGATGGACCAGCTGAGGCTCCAAGGCCCAGGAGCAGTTCAGTTGGCGCAGCTGTCCCCTTAGGTGTTGGGTCTTTTTTAGTTGGTTTGGTGGTTGGGCTTCCATTTAGCCTACAACAACTGTTAGCAGGGGATCTGAGGACAGCCCAGAGTTGGTCCGGAAGCCCAATGATCTGGTCAAATCAGGTGAGCTCAAGACTCACGTCATATGGGGATCTAAGTCGTGCCAGAGGAAAAGGGTCAATGAAACCCTGGCTTGGAGCAGCTTGGATCCACCTGCCTTCGAATTCAAGAAAGCAATGATCCCCTTTGAAGTCATGTTGCCCTCCAATCCGGAAAGCAACTAGGAGACATCATCACGTACAATGCCTCCATCAGTGCCTGTGCCAAAGGCGGGCAATGGCAGCGAGCCATTTCCCTGTACGGCGACTTGCTTGAGGCAAGGCTGCAGCCCACCGTGGTGACCTGCAGCTCGGCGATCAGCGCTTTGGAGCGCGGCGGCCAGTGGCAGTATGCCCTGCTTTTGTTGCGAGACCTGCCAGCCGTGGGTGTGGAAGCAAACACCATCACCTGCAACTCGGCAGTCAGTGCCTGTGAAAAGCGCGGGCGCTGGCAGCATGCGTTGATGGTGGTGGCACCTTGGCGATTCCCAGCACAAAAGATGAACTTGTGTATGACATATCCCACTAAAGGTTAAACAAAATGATAAATCCGCAAAGAACGAGCCAAGGCGCAGCTCCAGTCCTGCGGCATCCGCTCGGACGTGATCACGTGGAACTCCTCCATCAGCGCGTGTGAGAAGGGCGGCAGATGGCATATTGCGCTGCAGGCGTTGGCCGTTCCGCTCGGCCGAAGTTTGCGCGCCAACGTCATCAGCTTCAACTCGGCGATCAGCGCCCAGGAGGGGAAGGGGCAGACGCCTTCAAACCACTGTTTAAACCGACTCCTTTTGGTTTCCCTTTGAAGACGGTCGAAACCATTGCCCCACCCTG